ACACACACACACACACACACACACACACACACACACACACACACACACATTCCCCCAGAACAGCATTAATGCATATCACACTGCAGCCCACCACAGCCCCACTCCAGTAAACAAGGATCACGTTAACGAAGATCATTAACACAAAAATATACTCAATCTTGCTCACCTATTTAATGCTGCATGACATCAGTTGCTGGGTGAATCTATCACACTACTTCTCTGTCAAATTTAAGGGTTTTGAAGAATGACAGATACTACAGAAAAATAAACCAAAACTGAATCCCATTCATACTGCTGTCAAATCAATGCAAGCCAGATTTAGAATCTAGCGTCTTTAAAGGTAAAAAGGCTTATAAATGAGACAATACCCAATATCACACACGCTCTTTGCCCTTCTTTTAACTGTGCATAATTGTCCTGCGCTAATTCAGGATATGTACCTGACCCACAGGGCGGGCATCCGCGATCCTTCTGGGACAAGAGGCAGTCTGAGCAGCAGCAGGATCCTGACGTCATCTCGCCAGTCCTGACCACGCTGCACACCCAACTGCTTCCGTCTGACCCCAAATTACAAAGCAACCCCACCCCAAGAAACACGGTACAAGCCACCCAAGGTTTAAAGAGGTCCCCCATCTCAGATTTCTCGTTTTTTCCAATTCATGCCCCCACCTTGTCAATTCTGGTGGGTTTGTTTACCATAGTACAGGACAGTACCTGAGACCAACAGCCTTCCGAAAACACACATTCCCAGATGCCTTCATTTCAAACGGTTTTTTTTTATTATTTTATTTTGACAATACAGTTGGTTTTATTTTTTCGGTGATATGTAATTAACAGTCATTCGATGAGGCTTGTTTTGCTTTTGCAAAAAACTAATATTAGTAAAAATAAAGCATTAACTTATTTGAGGGGGTAGCCTGTCGGAGACAAGCAAGAATAGATAACAGTGTTACCTGTGTTGCATAACAAACAGTGCTTTGATTAGAATAATTCCAGCAATCAAATTGCGCCCAACAGAAAATCTGGGGTTTTTTTTTTAAAGTTTTAATTAACTAACTAATTACTCACCTGACGCTGAGCCTTTTGTTTCTCGCACTACGGACACATTGCTGGGTGAATCACAGCGGCAGCCTGGCCGCGCTTCTGCAAACCGGCCAATTCGTCTGCAACGGCAGAACTTCACGGTTGACGCCTGACATTCCTACATGGATGCATGAGGCACGGCGAAATCTAAACAAGCTAAATAAAGAGCGTACACTTTCCTTTGAGTAGTAATGTCCTATGAAACAATCAAAACAGAAATCCGCATTGGACATGTGTTGGAACCGGTACGCCCCTTACGGCCTAACCTAATATAATAATTATAATAATAATAACCATGTGCGCTGTTTTTCCATGTGTGGTTATTATCCTAAAAATTAAAAGGTGTAAGTGCGGGTGTCGGAGACAAAAACAATTCAGTGTTTAGTCACAAAGCATCCTCGGGCTATAAGCGTTTAAGGCGTTTAATTAAAACACATTACAGCCCGTAGAGAGCAGGGAATAACCGGAGAACTTCTGCCGAAAAGGATATTTGATGCTTTGCACGCAGGCAGGGCTGAAGATCTGTTACAATCAGTAGAGATTCTTTAATTGCGCATCTTTGGGACTCTTTTGCGGAGAAAAATAAAATCAGTTCTGGGTTTAGGATAAAACTTATCCAATAGGGTATCGAACTGTGCATATTACAGAACTGCGGCTTAAACGGTGGTGTGGCAATCAAATAACAAGCAAGGACGTGCACCTCGGACGACGGATACCTCTTTACACCTAAAAACCACAAGTTGACGCTTTCAGCATGAAAGACAAATTCACTCCGAAAATCGAAGCGTCTGCACGCGTTAATTCGCGCATAACAGGAATTTCACTTTGCAAAATCGGGCTCGCGCGGAGTATTTCACCATGGTTCATCGTGGATCCAAGTGGTTTAACAGGTTGGGCGATGAAAGGGCCTTTGGAGAGCGATCGGCCGAAATGAGCGGAGAAAACGCTCCATCAAAACCACTTCTGAGGCCAGACAAACGTGCGGCTCGGGATGTCCGGGCAACACAGGCAAATTCCATCCTGTACATGCATTTAACCATTTTAACGGGTATCACTGTCTTCTCACACCTTAAGGAAATCTTCGTCCATTCATTTCCAGGCCACTAATGCCCGTTTTCTAACCAGTCGACCAGAGCGCTTTCCCATTAATTTCCCCCTTTTTTCACTTACCGCATACGAGGCGAACAGTGTCAGTCCCCGGATACCTTCCGTTCCCTTTTTCTTTCTTCCGGAAGTTAAAGTTTTATTAATCTTTCCTAGCCTTCTCCGCGGCTTCCCTAACCTCTTCTCCCCCCGGGTTCAGTCGGCGGCCCAAAACGGCCGGTCTCCGCACTTTTAAGCGCAGTATTAGCGCGGGGGGTGGGGGGGGGGGGGGGTCCGCTCGGTTGATCGCTCGCTCGGTTTTTGTACTCCGCCGCGTTTTTCTACTCCACCTTCTTGGGTATGTTACCTGCGGCAACAGGTAAATCCCGCACCCACTCGTAGGTGAGGCGTGACGTCACAGTGTCTCTTTATTAAAAAAAAAAGCCAATGCAACAAACAGCATATGCCGATCTACAGGCTGATGCATGAAAATATAAAGTGCGTTTAAAGAATTTACAAACACTTTTCGTTTATTTCGCACAATTTTCCCTCATTCAGTCCTTTAAAAAAACACACGTTTGCATTATTTTCCTCTTCGGAAAACGGATTCCCTTGCGTTCAAATGAAAACCACTAGCATAACAACTGCTAAACACTCATTACCAGTTGAGAGCAATCACTCCACATTGTGTAAACAGCATTCAGGAGGGGGATGCCTGGTATATTTATTGGACCAGAGTGGAGTCAATCCCAAAACATTAATTGCTCTCCTGTGAAACAGGATATTTAAACATTTGAAAAGATATAAAGTATAATAGCAGCATGTCATAAGAATATTAGTTATGACTTTTGTGATTGTGATAGTATTATTGTATCCGTTTTACTTTAATTGTACCGTCTTTACAGTAATTTGCACAGTAACTGTTGAGTTGTGTGTATTCTTTAGCGGTAGAAATATACGGTTCAGGCAGGCAGCACTATTCTACTGCACAATACCTAAAATCACATTATGGAAAAGAATGCAGTTTCCAGGAACTGACAGAGCAAGCTTTTCAACATCAACAAGTGTAGCATGAAGCAGGTGTATCATATACCTGCTGAGAGGAAGATGAAGGAACTGCACCACCAATATGTCCAAGTGCTAACTTGTTTACTTTTTTAAAAAAAATTAAACACTGTGCACTGTAATTCCCATAAAAGCATAGTGACACAATGAGGACATGAAGCGCAGGCTTAGAGTCAGACCCCCAGAACAGTTCTTTAGATAACTGCCTGTATAAAGGACTTGATTCAATTCTAAATTTTCTGCAAAGTGTTGAAGAATCCATCTTCCAGTCCCTTGTCTTGGTTACAAGGAGAAGTCTTGTGCCCATCCCAGAAATCACAGGGCTCCCTAAACCCTGGAGGTGTGAGTTGGCAGTGCCAGTTACTATGCCACCATAGCACCAAATGCTGAAGTGTCTTTTCATGTGAACTGAATTTAAGGGGAGATGGACAAGACAGAGAAGATCACGTGGTTATCAGCCATGGACTGGCCATCTGATAAATCCTTTGTTTGCCATTTGCACAAGTACATTGGAATTCTTTTCTTGCCTCATCTTGTTCTCCATAGCCTGGAGGTCACAGCACGGGGTCAGCCAGCATGCAGCTCCCCTGGAGCTAAGCGTTAAGGGTTTTGCTCAAGGGCCCACAGACATGTGCCTGCTCTGCTGCCAGGCCTCGAACCAGCAACTTTCCAATCACAGATACAGAAGCCCCCCCCCCCCCCACTTCCCTGCTCGGCCCAATTTTTAATCCCTATCCAGCCCTTCTGGTCATCAAAGTTACAATCATGCACTTAAGTTAAACCTGATGTTCTTATGACAAGCTGCTACTGTACAGGCAGGTTACCAGGTTACGAACCAGATCAGTCCCTTAAATCCGTCTGAAAGTCAAATTTGTAGGTGAGTTGGGAAAATAATAATAAAATACATTATTACACAGTAATAATAAAAGTTTACTACAATCGGTGCTGTACTGCACCTCGAGCCGACGATCCGCTGAAGCCACACAATGTTTTCACGAACGTCACAAAATTGTCCACATGTTCGTTTATTCCAAACCGCCATACTTATTTTTTTAACGTAATAGGCTTTCGGCAGTCCATTAGACCTGGGAACTATCTGTACTTTTTCTCTTTTCAAATTTGTCATGTCCCTGGTGAGTGGTGGGGGGGTCGGAGGATCACTCTCAACAGAGCCATAAGCAAGCCCGAGATCCTCTGTCACCGGGCTACCCCTGGTGTGTATAACAGAGCACTCCTACTCATTTCCTGACATAATCCATACGTCTCCCATTTCACTGGAATTGAGTCAAGCCTGGATTTGTCATAATGCAAGATATAACTCCCTCGCCATTTGGACAGAGACAATATTCACAGTGACATAGATGAATATGCTCTGCACGATTTTGCAAGTGCATTCATCAGTGGAATTGCGCGATGAGTTCTGCATAATGTCTTTCTTGAGTCAGAGGCTTATGGTTATGGTCTAACAGAGACTCCTGCGGTTCTGGGGAAATGGTGATCTGTTTCTGGTATTTTAGAGAAAATGAGGAGGGCAATGTGCCTGAAAACAAATGAGAAAAACTGTAGCGCGTTTGAAGCCATGATATGTTTCTAAGGTACTTCTGGTTTAGTCATAATCACTGTTTTGTTTTGTTTTTTACCTTTTTAACTAACCGTTTTGATAGTATCACCGTGACTTTCCTTGCGATTGAAATGTAATGTGTTAGTTAACTGTAAAGCTGCGCTGATTTCGGCTGCGCTGATATCAGTAATATCACTGCCTACATGGGATTTCGCCGAACGAGAGTAATTTGCTCGACCTAATTCGTGCGGGAGCCCTTACTGTTCCTGTAGATTATGACTGCATTTTAAAATCGCTGAACTAATTAACAATACATGAGTTATTGTTGGCTCCCCTAACATGACTCCATGCAGCGCCTGATTTTTCCAATGATAAGCGAGGTGCAGTAACTCCGTAGGTTCATCCCTCCCGCATTGTGGAACCGATTGTGTGTGCGGGAGTTTAGTTTACATACCGCCCCATGCTTCCTCTGTACTCCGGTTTCCTCCCACAGTCCGAAATCATGCTGTTAGGTGAATTGGTGTCTCAAAATTGCCCATAGCGTATAACCTGTAATTGAACGGTGCGCCGTCCAGAGTCTCCCCCTGTTTCTTGGGATTGAGGGATATTACATTACAGGCATGGGCATTACATGCAGTGCATTACAGAAAAGCATTGTACTGGAGATGTGGTTCGGCGCTGCGCAGATAGTGGCAGTTAAGATTAACAGGTGTTTTGTCGATTGAGTAACATGTTAACATTGTTCACTGAACAGTGACGATTGTTATATGTCTTATTGTATATGTACGACTGACAAAAGCAGTGCAAGTTTTAATTCCTACCGACATTATGCAGGAGCTTTTCAACTGAATTGTTTATGCAACGCGCAAAAGATTCAAGAGGGACCACCAACCCCGGAGCAATGCATACCAAAACCGGTCTTTAGTTCCTAGCTACTTATGTGGTCATGCTACTTATGTGATTATGTGGTGGGGGATCATCTTTTCATCCTGCAAAGTACGCGGAACAGTGTCGCATATAACTCAGAAATGCAATATTTTAATATTCTGATTAATATTTCTAGATGGTATAGCATACATATGCACGGAAGGTATCATTTGGATTAGAATAATAATAAACTGCATATCTGAAAAACCGGTGCTGTGGGTTTGAGTCCCTTT